GGGCGCGGTGGCTCAAGCCTGTAATCCCAGCACTTTGGGAGGCCGAGGCGGGTGGATCACAAGGTCAAGAGATCGAGACCATCCTGGTCAACATGGTGAAACCCCGTCTCTACTAAAAATACAAAAAATTAGCTGGGCATGGTGGTGCGTGCCTGTAATCCCAGCTACTCAGGAGGTTGAGGCAGGAGAATTGCCTGAACCCAGGAGGCGGAGGTTGCGGTGAGCCGAGATCGCGCCATTGCACTCCAGGCCTGGGTAAAAAGGATTGAAACCCCGTCTCAAAAAAAAAAAAAAAAAAGAGAGAGAGAAAGAACTTGTTCCTCAAGGGCAGATCTGAGTAGCCCCATAACCCTGTTTATCCTAAGACAGCACACTTTGGGGGCCATTTGTTCACCTAAATCAAATGTTAAAAATTGCCCAGAGGCAGACTACAGTGACTCACACCTGTAATCCCAGCACTTCAGGAAGCTGAGGTGAGAGGATCACAAAAGCCCGGTGCAGTGGCTCACACCTGTAATCTCAGCACTTTGGGAGGCCAAGGCAGGCAGATCACCTGAGGTCGGGAGTTTGAGACCAGCCCGACCAACATGGAGAAAACCATCTCTACTAAAAATCTAAAATTAGCCAGGCATGGTGGCACATGCCTGTAATCCCAGCTACTCAGGAGGCTGAGGCAGGAGAATCGCTTAAACCCGGGAGGCGGAGGTTGCCATAAGCCGAGATTGCGCCATTGCACTCCAGCCTGGGCCACAAGAGTGAAACTCCGTCTCAAAAAATAAAAAATAAGAAATCGGATGTCAAGTGGAAAAAATAAAAAATAAATAAATTGCTCCAGCCAAAAACCTGGACTTACAACCTTGACTCCTCTCTTTATCGCAAACTGCATATATAAATCTGTGGATTCTACTTACAAAGTGGTCCCAGCAGGTGCCCACTTCTCTGCCCTCCAGGGCCCTCACCCTGGGCCTGTCCGCCAGTGTCTTGTCCTGAACCATCACAGCAGCCTCCTCTCTGTCAAGCTGCCCCCTCCCCCCGCTCCCACCTGTTGACCACTTGCAGCAGAGGGAGCCTGTGAACACCTGAGTCAGGTCACATCCCTCCCACGTTTGAAATTTCCTGTGGCTCCGTCTCACTCAGGGCAAAATCCAAAGTCCACTCAATGGCCTGCAAGGCCTTACACATTTGCCCCGTCGCCTCTCAGCCCTCATCTCCTGGCACTTTCTTCTTTACTTTCTCCCCTCTTAACTCCCTGAACCTCCTCAGATTTCCCTGACACACTCCTGCCTCAGGCCCTTGCACTAGCTGTTCCCTTTACTTAAAATACCCTTCCCTGCAGACATCCTCAGGACTCCCTCACCCCCCTCAGGGTTTTATTCAAATGCCAGCTCCTGGCCGGGCATGGTGGCTCATACCTGTAATCCTAGCACTTTGGGAGACCAAGGCGGACAGATCACTTGAGGTCAGGAGTTTGAGACCAGCCTGGCCAACATGGTGAAACCCCGTCTCTACTCAAAATACAAAAATGAGCCAGGCATTGTGGCGTGTGCCTGTAATCCCAGCTACTCAGGAGACTGAGGCAGGAGAATCGCTTGAACCCGGGAGGCAGAGGCTGCAGTGAATGGAAATCATGCCACTGCACTCCAGCCTGGGCAACAGAGCCAGACTCCATCTCAAAAACACAACAAATGCTGGCTGCTGAGGAGGCCTAACCTGGCCACTCTAGCTAAAACGGCCTGCATCCTGTTCCCACCTTCTTTTTTTCTTTCTGCTTTATATCATTTCATTTTTTTTTTTTTTTAAAGACGGGGTTTCACCATGATGGCCAGGCTGGTCTTGAACTCCTGACCTCAGGTGATCCACCCACCTCGGCCTCCCACAGTGCTAGGATTACAGGCGTGAGCCACTGCGCCTGGCATATATCATTTCTAACATACTAAGTCATTTACTCATTGTCTCCCTTACTATAAAGGGGCTTTTGTGTGTTCTGCCCACTGCTTTTTCTCGAGTGCTTTCAACAGGGCTTGGCATGTAATAGGTGCTCAATAAATGCACTTGTTGAGTGCCTTATAAAACTCAAGGGTCTGATGGGACCAAAGGATGTGGAGGAGAAGGGAGAATTTAAGTCGGAGACTGGTCTGGCAGTTCAGGAAGGTGAGTGGGCAGGGTGCACAGAGGCAAATAAATAACACAGGCTAAGACTTTGTCACAGACATTTCTTGGAGCAGATCTCATGCCCCTCCCCCGGTTGACAAGGCTGGGTCTTCGGCCCCCATCCTCCCCCACCGTTTCAGCCTGCACTGACACTAACGATATTGAGGTCACAGACTGGCTTAGAATCAAGATCAGGAAGATATATGTTGGGGTGCCTCCCCCAAATCTGGGGGCCAAGCATCCGATCTGAGGGGCATGCGGCTGGGAAATTGGGCCTGGGGGCTCCAGGGGCTGAGGTCTTCCTGGCTCCCAGGGCGGCCCTCCACGCACCCCTGATTTGGGGGCAGTGAAGGGGAATCATGGATCAGAGGTGGGTCTCAGCAGGGAGCAGGACTGGGAGGCCTGGGAGAGGCGCTGCTGGGAAGTGGCGGCCAGGGGACCTTTCCCCAGCCCCCACCACTTCATCTGCAGATCCCACAGCACCGTACAGCACTCTGGTCCCCTGTCCCACCCCTCCCCAAAACGAGGTAGGTTAAGAATGGAGCTTCCCCCCCGCCCACCATGGAAGGGGGGAGACCGAGGCACAGAGAGGAGCATGGGGACCCAGGCTGCCCCAGCCCCCAATCCCTCTGCCTTCAGCTCTGGTGGGTCTGACAGTGATGAGAGCTGGGCAGAGTGAGGAGGGGAGAGACACCCTGCTTTTCTCTCACCCATCCGAGGGTCTGGTTGGGAGAGCTAAATCTCACAGGTTCCGGATATAATAAATAGTTAATAATTTAAAGGAAGAGACAGAAGACCTATCCCTTGAACCCCAACAAGGCCATCCAAGTCTGGGTAATGAAGAAAGGTAAGTGCACAGTTCCAGATGCTTGGGGCCAGATGCAGATCCCAAGCCCATACAACATTGAGACTGTCTTACTCCAAGACCTTGATACCCCCATACAGGACACCAGATCTTCAATCCATGGGAAGTCCCATTTCACTTGGGGGGAAAAAACCTGTGGCACCCCCCTTCCACAGAAGAGACTCAGCGGGCTATGAAACAGGCTTTCAAACTTCCTGAAGCAACCTCCAACTCTAAAGTGGAAAAGAGCCGGGCACGGTGGCTCACACCTGTAACCCCAACACTTTGGGAGGCCAAGGTGGGTGGATCACGAAGTCAGGAGTTCAAAACCAGCCTGGTCAACATGGTGAAACCCCATCTCTACTCAAAATGCAAAAAATTAGCTGGGTTTGGTGGCACGCACCTGTAATCTCAGCTACTCGGGAGGCTGAGGGAGAATGGTTTGAACCCAGGAGGCGGAGGTTGTGGTGAGCCGATATCATGCCACTGCACTCCAGCCTGGGCGATGTAGCAAGACTCCCTCTCAAAAAAAAGATAAAAAATAAAGTGGAAGAGAAGGGGTTAATGGAGTAGGAGAACATAAAAGGTTGGACTTGAACCTGGACTAGGGATCAAGGTTGGGCTTGAAGGAGGATCTGCAAGGCTGGGAGGTTGCGGGGGGTGGGTGGCAGAGACATAGCTAGCCTAAAAGCTTCCATCACACAGTTCCTTGGGCCCCAGTGTGACCAGCAGACTGTGGTGTGACTTCCAGCTCCTCTCAACCCTGGGCTGTGTGCCTTCACTTAATGAAGAGCCTACATAATCTGTATAATTATCTGTGACAATGCTGAGTCCTAGAGGTGACAGTAAGGAAGCTCCTAGTTGGTCCTTTGTCCTTTTTTTTTTTTAGAGACAGGGCCTCACTACATTGCCCAGGCTGGTCTCAAACTCCTGGCCTCAAGCGATCCTCCTTCCTTGGCCTCCCAAAGTGCTGGGATTACAAGGCATGAACCACTGCACCCCACCCTGGGCGGTCCTACAAAGAGTTCCAAACGATAGAGATCCCACCCTAAGATAAAGGGGTAATTCTGAGGATTGCCAGGGGCTTGGGCTGGGATCCTTGGGATCAGAATTCCAGAGTCTAGAACCTTGGGGTTTTGGGGGCCTACAGATGGCAGGATTCAAGGGACAGCAGGTCTCAGAGGACGTACAGGTGGAGCTGGGAGATTCAGGTGGAGAGGCAGCTCAGGCTTCATCACGCTAAAGAGGTTTGAGTCCAAAGAAATCTGGGGTCCGAGGGTGCTGGGGTCTTGGGGCACCTCAAATCTGAATGCCTCTGATGTGGAGGGACCAAGGTCTTGGATCAGGAACAATCGTAATGTTGTGGGGGCTTGAGCCTTGCATTTGGGGGTCAGTGGTACCTTGGGTCTTACATCCAGTGCTCCTAAAGTACCTTCAGGTCACTCAGGGGCTGAGGTCCCAGGGGGTCAGAGGTCTGGGTCGCCATGAGCATCCCATCTTCTGGGAGCTGGACTACCAGCCCTTGGGGGGCTGGGGGGCTGTGGGTAGAAGGAGGCTGAAGATTCCAGGACATTTGGGGTCTCAAAATCCAGGTCCAGGAGGGACTGCAAGAGAGGGCTGTTTGAGAACTCGAGACCAGTATCTCAGCCCTGAGGTGTTGGTGACCTTTAGTCACACATCTGAGGACACCAGGCACCTCTGAGTCCTATAAATTATATCCAAAGATCCTGAGAACACTGGCTTGGGGGCGGGTGGGCCTATGTAGGTCTTTCATCCCTGGCTTCCAGAGCATCTTGGTGTCTGATATCTGGATCTTGGGGGGCTCTGTGATGGGTCTCCCAAGTCATTTTGGTCAGAGAACATCTCGTGTTTGAGCATATCCAAGTGCTCAGTGCATCTTAAGCATTTTGGGGTCCTAGGGTGTCTGGGGACTCCCTGGACACCTTAGACTTCAGTGTTCCTGGATTGGAGGCCAGGTCTGTGGGCACTCGGTAGTGGGTAGATTTGGGGGCAGCATCTGGAGATTCCAGAGCACAAGAGAGTTTCAAACTATTTGAAACAGTCTCAGGGGGTCCTGCTGTCTCAGGGGTACTGGGACTAGGAGAATGTCTCAGATGCAGGGGCACCAAGTCTTAGGTGAACATTCAGGGGCTGTTTAGGGGTGACTCTAGGTCCTGCAGTTTCAAGATCTAATCTGGGAGTTGAATAAAGGCAGAGTCAGGTATGGGCAACTCCTGACTAATTGTGGGGCTGTAATCTGAGGGACATGGTGCCAGGCATGACCGTGATCTAGATTGTTCATTTCAACAGGGACCTGCCCTCTCCAGGATCTATGAGCTCTCTGGCCCTTCTGAGATGCAAAGTATGGGACGCCTGGAGCCTCCACGTGGGGAGTGGGGATGGGGGAACGCCAGAACTCAGGACGCCTGGGACCTCTTGGACAGACATCCCAGTGAAGCTGGGGCTGGGGTCTCTCAGTCCTAGGTTTGGGGTCCAGGCTCCAGGTCTGAGATCTCTCAGTCCAAACTCAAGCGCCAAGTTCCGGGTGTGCCTAGGTTTGGGTTTTAGGTCCGAATGGAGTCCAGGGTCCTGGTCCCTCAATTTTGGGCCCTCGGACCGGCTAGGGGACCCGCCAAGCCGTCCTCACCGCGCAGCCTCCTCGTGGCGACCCCCGCAGCCGGCGCAGCCGCATCGCGCTGCAACCCAGTGACACGCGCGCAGGGGCGCGTAGCAGCAGAGGCAGGGCACTGCCAGGGAGAGCGCGGCCAGCGCGGCCCAGCGCGCGGCAGGGCGCGGGTGGCCCGGCTCGCAGGCACATGGGTCCGAGAAGTCGCCCTCGGCGTCCGACAGGCAGTGGTAGAGCAAGCTCTCGGCGCACCACAGGCAGCTCAGACGGCGCACCAGGAGGCGACCAGGGTCTGGGGCCTCTGCGCAGCGGCCGCCACGCCCGTCCGCTCGGCGGCGGAAGAGCGCTCGGCAATGCACGCAGCGCGCTGCCTCCTCCGCCTCCGGGGAGGCCTTGGCAGGAGCAGAGGCTGGGCCCGGGCCGGGGGGTGGGCGAGCTGGGGGCGCTGGGGGCGCAGCCTCTGTCAAAGGGGCAGGTAGTGCCGCTGGGGGCCCCAGGGCAGCGCCCCTCAACGCGCCGGTCTTGGCGAAGCGCACGACGCAGGTGGACAGGGCGAGGGGCGCGGGTGGCCCAGAGCGCCGGTAATCCTCGTAGCCGCGGCCGCCCCACCCCGGGCCCCCTGCCCCTGCCAGGGGCTCTGACGGCTCTGGAATCCCAGTGAACGGCAGAAGCGGAGGGTAGCTCTGCAGGACGAAGGGACAAGATCAGAACCCATCCCAGTCTCAGCCCCAGGGATCCAATTCTCTAGCACCCTCTTGGGCCTGGAATTCAGATTTTCAAGACCCCAGCTCTCTTCTCTCACACGATCCCTCAATCCCCACTTTTCTCCAGGAACAGGCAGAAGAATCCACACACGAAGCCCATACCTTTAAAGACCCAGAGGCCGAAGGTTCTCAGTCCTGTCCTCTCTTATGATCCAAGAGCCCCAGCTCCCAGGCCCCCTCTACCTTGAGATCCAGGGGTTCTGGTCCCCAGCCACCTCCTTCTTAAGGGCGCAGGAGTTTGGTTCCTGGGCCCCTTTTACCCTCCTGGGTACCGACTCCCCCGCCCTCCTCGTGAGTTAAGCAGTCCTCTTCCATGAGTTACCCAAATATATTCTGAAAATGGTACCAAACCCCTCTGGACTTCGGCACCCCTCAAAATCTCCAGGGGCACAGGAGACTCGGGAAGCCCGCACCCAAGCCTCCTAGAACTCCAAGCCTCTCCCTATTTCCCCGCTGCTTTCTCGCAGTCCTGCTCAGTTATCAGGTCAGCCATCCCCTGGGATCTGTGTTCCCTGCCCCCGCCCCCCCTCCCCGGGCCACGGGTCCCGCTCCATTAGGGCCCCGACTGCACCGCCCCATTACCCCTGGAGCCCCAGGCTTCCTGGTCGCACCTGAGCAGAGGAGCGGCGGCGCTGGGGGGGCGTGGCCGGCCCGAAGCCCGAAGTTGACTCCATCGTGATGATGGGGGCCACAGCGGCGCTGGGAGGCGTCTCCTGGCGGCTGTGACTGGAGGAGGAGTCGCTGTCCACGTGGGACTGGAGGAGATTGGTGGCCTCAGCTCGGGGACACGCCCCCGCACAGCCGACGCCCTCACGTGGACCCCTCCCATTGAGAGCGAGGGCTCTGCGGCCAGGAAGGCCTGGGTTCAAACCCCGGCTCTGTCACTGACTGGTCGTGTGACCTCCAGCAAGTGAGCTCACCTCTTTGAGCCTCAGTTTCCTCCTCTGTAAAACGAGGATCCTAAGAGTATCTATTCATAAGGATGCGGTTAGGGCCACTGCCAAGGGCACAGCACATGCCTGAAGTACTGGGAGAGCTGGAAATGGTTACTGCTATTTTTGTGGCACCCTTCTCCTGATCAGATCAGCTCGCCAAACCTATGGAACAACGAATGGTCTTCCCCCTCCTCAGAACCCCTCTCCCCTGGGCAGCCAGCGGCCTTCCTCTCTCAGTCCCAGCCCCACACTGTTACTGGAGCAGTCCCACCCACTCCAAGTGTTCCCCTTCCCGTGCAAACCAGGCTCTGTTCTGAAACTAGCTGAAACATGACTTCTCAGACCCTTAGCTTCCTTTCTGTCCCTTGGGCATAATTTCTACCTCATCTGTGCATTGCCTTCAATAGACATTCATTGAGCACCCATGACGTGCCAGACTCACAAAGACAACTGTGCGGATTCCAGAGGGAGACTAGACAGCAGAGGATCTTTCCCGGGGAAGTGCTGGATGGACAGGAACTGTCTGTGACTGTTGTGGCCCCTCTTCCATCTCCCAGGACCCTGAAAGTCCACCCTTTTCTGCCCAGGGAATAGATTTTGTTCCTCTAGGTGTTTTCAGCAACTCCCACAGTTTCCAGCAAATGCCAAATTGCACCCAATATTATGTGCATTCATTCATTCATTCACTTTATTCAACACATATTTACTAAACACTTACTGTGTGCCAGGCACTGTTTCAGGCATTGGAGACACAGCAAGAACCAACAAAAGATCTTTGCTGGCCTGGAGCTGACATTCTAGCATGGGAGATAGACAGTAAACTAATAGATAAGAAAACAGTGTTTTCAGAAAGGAAATAAAGAAAATGTCTTAGAAGACGGGAAAAAATTAGCACTAGACAAGGGGCATTAACAGATTGCAATTTTAAATGGAATACTTAAATTTAACTACTCAGGGAGGCCCTCCCTAAAAAGATGATATTTGTGTAAAGCCCTAAAAGAAACAAAGGAATGAGTCCCAAGGAAATCTGGGAAAGAGCATTCCAGGCAATAGCCAGTGCAAAGGTCCTGGGGTAGCACTGTGCTTGCCATGTCAGAATAAGAGTGAGGAGGCCGTGTGGCTGGAGTTGAGTAAGCGAGGGGGCCAGACACATGGGGTCAGATGGCATGGGATCTCATGGGCCACCGTAAGGACTTTGTCCTTTACCTGAGTGAGCTGGGGCCCTGGGAGGGTTCTGAGTGTGGGAGGGGTAATGATCTGACTCAGCCGTTGATAGGGATCCTCTGGCTGTGTGGCAGGGCGGGAAGGAAGGAGTTGACAGTGAGAAGCTGTTGAGATGGTCCAGCTGGGAGGTGCGTTTGGACAGTACCAGGTTGGAGGCAGATCGTGGTGGTTTGCAAAGTGGAACTACTACTTGCTGAGGGATGAGATGAGACGCATAAAAGGTAAGAGGAGTCAGGATGACTCCGAGCTTTACGGCCTGCATAACTGGAAGCATGGAGCGGTCATTAATTTGTTCATCCATTTATTTTTACTATTTGTTCATTTTTATTGCTTACGTGTTTTTTATTTTCTTTTTTGTGAGATGTAGTCTCACTCTGTCACCTAGGCTGGAGTGCAGTGGCATCGTCTTGGCTCACTGACACCTCTGCCTCCCCGGTTCAAGCGATTCTCCTTCCTCAGCCTCCTAAATAGCTGGGATTACAGGTGTACGCCACCACACCCGGCTAATTTTTGTATTTTTAGTAAAGACAGGGTTTTACCATGTTGCCAGGCTGGTCTCGAACGCCTGACCTCATGATCTGCCCGCCTCGGCCTCCCAAAGTGCTGGGATTACAGGTGTAAGTCACCGTGTATTGTTTATATATTTTTTGAATTTCTGGCTTTCCACACTAGAATAGAAGCTCCAGGAGGAAAGGAACTATTTGTTCACTGATGTAACCCAGTGTCTAAAACACTGCCTGGTACACAGAAAGTGCACAATAAGGACTATTGAGTGAATGTATGAATCATGACAGGGCAGAGACTAGAATAACTGGGATTGAATTGACACTTATAGTTCAGGCCCAATTTGGTGTCCCTGACATGTGGCATGGTGCCTGCTACACAGTAGGTGCTCAAGAATGTTCATAGAACAAAAGCGAAATCCCTGTCCCCCCAGCAGAGGGCCTCCTGGACACTCACCGTCAGAGGGCAGGGGGTCTCTGCAGTGTCCTGGGAAGGAGAGGAGGAGGAGGAGGAGGAGGAGGAGGAGGAGGGGGTGAGTGAGCCTGGGGCAGGGAGAGAGGCAGAGAGTGAGTTCCCTGAGCCCAGCTTCTCCTCCCAATCCCAGTCCAGCCCCCAGCGCACACCACCTGGGCTGCTCACCTCGACCCAGCGCGGCCAGCGCAGCCAGCAGGCTCTTCTGGAACTCATCAGCCTCTGCAGGGCTCTGAAACGTCAGTCCAAACTTGCAGTCACCCAGGCTCCAGTGGTGAAAGATGGGATTCACCTTGTTGTAAACCAAGCCTGGCTTCAGGGTACACTCCAAGGTCGTCTGAGGGGCAGGAGGAGAGCAGGGTCAGATACCTCACCTCAGACATGCCTGCAACATCTTCATCACCAGCCCCCGTGCACACCGTAGTGTCTTCTCACAAACCTCATTTCCCAATCCTAGGTGTACCCCTGAACCCTGATCAACACTGATACAACTCCCCAATTTTACTTCTGTTTTTTGAGACAGTCTTGCTCTGTCACCCAGGCTGGAGTGCAGTGGTGTGCTCATGCTCACTGCAGCCTCCACCTCCCAGTCTCAAGCGATCCTCCCGCCTCAGCCTCCCAAAGTGCTGGGATTACAGGCATGAACACCCACGCCGAGCTACCCCCAATTTTCCTAAACATACCTCTGATACTCCAATATTTTCCCAACCCCTTAATCCCTACCTTTTCCTAATACCTCCCTCTGATACCCCTGTAGAAACCCCAAATCTTACTGAATGCCTCAAAACATTATTAACCCCTTTCTGGCTGTAATGCTTCCCAGACTACTGAACATCTCACAATGTTATTGTTAATCCTCTTCTCATAATAATCTCTGGAAACTTTACCCAAAAATGTTCTCCTTTTTTTTTTTTTTAAGATGAGCTCTCTCTGTGTTGCCCAGGCTGGTCTCAAACTCCTGGGCTCAAGCAATCCTCCTGCCTCAGTCTCATGAGTGGCTGGGATTATAGGCATGCTACTCTACCCACCACTTACCCCAAAATAGTCTTATTAAACTTCCACAGATTCCCCCTCAGGTGCTAGCCAACACCCTATTGATGTTCCCTCAAATCCTTGCCTAGTATCACCATATTCCTTCCCTCCATTTCAAATCCCCTCACTGACTCTTGCTCTGAAACAAAACCTTTCCCTCAAGGCTTTTGCACAATCCATATCTTTCTACTATACCCCAGCTGAAACTTTAACACTGTCCCTCCAAATGGTGCCAGACAGCCCAGTTATTCCCGATGAACCCACATATAGAATTGTCAAATGTTTCTGACACTTTCAAATGGACCCCAACAAATGCTTCCTTCTACTGGGGCAGACAGGGTGGTGTAGGGCCTCATGGCGAAGATCTCTGAGCAAGATGGAGGGTTCTGAGCAGAAGAGGGACATGGTCTGAGTCGGGTGGAGGCAGTGCCCGCTGTGGAGCAGACTGCAGTTGGAGTGGGGAGCAGTACAGGGAGACAGTGAGGAGGCTGCTGTGACAGTCGGCCGGAAATGGCAATGGACAGGACTTTCCTAACACCCCATGTATCCTGAAATTCCTAACTCTTATCCATAGGACAGATATTTACTCCCATACTTCACACCCCAGTTTGATTTGTACGCTGGGAGGCAGCCTGACCTCTGCTCCACACGCCAGCCCCAATCCCCTCCCTTCCCGGGTCCCCACCCTGCCCGCATGCCCCAGGGTGGCTCACTTTCTGATCCCGGAGGCGCTCCCCGTGGATGACGTAGTGCCCCTGGCGGGCCCCCCCCTCGGGCCTGGCCCCTCGGACCCGACACACGCTCACCTGGCTGAGGCCCCCGCCCCCCACAGGCAGCCAGCCCCCACTGGAGTCATCTCGGGCCATCACCACAGCTCGGACCCGCACCATGTACCTGCAGGAGGAGGAGGGAAGGACAGGGACAACACAGTCATGAGCTTGAATCCTGCTCTCTCATGGAATGTTCTTCCAACCCTCAACTCCCCTCCAACTTCGTTTCTCACGTCCGGGTCCACTGCGCCCTAAGCCAGCAATACCCACCTCAACCCCATGGCCACCCCCTTCCACCCTGGCTCCTTTCTTCCTCATGCCATCGCTTCTCTCCCACTCTGTCTTCTTCTCCACGTCTGCCCTTTCTCTGTCCCCACCTTTCCCCCATCTCTCCGCCCCCACCCCCATAGCCGTGGTGTTGCACTCCCCTGCCCCTCCTACTCATCCCTATCACCCCCTTCTCCTCCCTCAGCACATACCCACAGCCCCACCCAGCGCTCCCCCTCACAGCTGGGTGCCTGCGCATATATATTTTCTCTGGGCCCATCAACTCAGCTCCCTTTCTCCCAGCCCTGCCTCCGCACCCTGTCGTCCAGGCCACAGGCTGGGTGAGAAACCCAGGCTCTTTCCACCCCCCCATCCCTTCCCGGATTTATGAATGAGACCGGATGCAAAGCTCACTGAGTCACCCAGCAACGGGAGATGGGCAGGGAACAGGGAGAGAACCAGAAATGGCCAGAAAGAGAGACTGAGAGGGAGATGGAGGCAGAGGAAGTCAGAAACGGGCGACCAAAGACACATCCAGAGAGCATTTCATTCACAAAAATCAAGGCTGCTCCCTCAGGCCCCAGCTGAGGGAAACCAAGGGGGATAGATGGGGTTGGGGGGAGATTGATCCTTCCTCCCTCTTCCCTTCCCGCCCCCCCAGCCCCAGCATCCTTCAGAACCATTTTACCCCGCCCCCCAGCTCAGAGGACGTAGCCCTCCGCCCAGTAATCGGGATCAGCGTTCAGCCCCTCACTGTCACCCAGCACAGGGACCTTGGCGTCCCAACCTTAGGGACCCGGGTGAGCTCTAGCCCCCTCCCCCACCTGCAGGCTTCTGGGTTTCCCTGGCCCTTCGGGAGGGGAAGGGGCGGCCGCAGCGCCCCCAGCCCCCTTTTCTCAATGGGATGGTATTTTGTGAATGAGCAGTCACGTGACGCTGCTTCCTTTGTCCGCCCGCCTCCCCCGACAACAGGTGAAGCAGGGAATGAGGGCGGGGGTCCCCCCAGGGCCTAGCTGGAATAAGGCACTGGGATTTCAGGGTGTCCTACCCTCCCCACACATCCTGTGTTGCCCGGGGGGAGTGGTCCTCAGCGTTCCTCACGGTGAGGGTCCAGGACGGAATTTTGTGAATGGGGCATCCTTGGAGAAAGTCCAGACCCCCCAAATGAAGACCGGCACCCTGAATGGCTGTCGCGCAGTTTGGGGGGTTCCCACTCCCTAGTCCTCCCAGCCGGGGCCTGAGGGGCGCCTGGGTGGGCAGAAGGCGCAGCGCGGTCCTGGCCGCCCCCTCATCGGGCCAGGCAGTCTGGCAGCCCCCGCCGCCTCGCCCCCTTCGGCACCTGCCTGCGAGGCTCCGGCCGGGCTCCGAGCGGCGGCGACGCGGCCTCCTCCTCCTCCTCCTCCTTTTCGTTCCGGCTCCCTCGCTGGCTCCGGCGGCGCTGGAGACGGGCACCGGGAGCCGGGTCGAGGGGGGAGGGAGGGGGAACCTGGAAGACGGGTGGGGGGGGAAGGGGCGGCTTGGGGGAGGGGTAAGAGCGAGGCGGGCTTACTTGCCCGCTGGGTCCTAGAGCCCGGCACTAGCTCCAGAGAGCAGCCCCCCTGCCCCCATTTTCTTAAGATCCAGAGGGAATCTCCCACTTCTCCATCCATCTGCGCCATTGGTCCCTAATGCTATGAGGAGGGGACAGGGGCAGGGGCAGGGACTGGTCTCAAGGTTCTAAAGAGGAGGTGGTCTACGCTGTGACTTCCAAATAGGAGGGGCTGAGTGCCTGGCAGGGTTCGATAAGGGGTGGGGCGAGAGGGGAGCCTTCACAAGGGGGTGGGGTTGGAGGGCCTGGGTATAAAGAGGTTTGGATGCTGAAGGCCAAAACTAGTGCGTGCGTCACGGGAGGGGCGGGCCCACGGTGGATGGGCCTTCGGGGCACGCCGGGGGAAGGAGAAGGTCTTGGGAAGCGAAGTAGCTGGGTCTTAAAAAGGCGGAGCCTAGAGGTAAATTGCCTTAGGGGCGGGGAGGATGAGCGGTCCAAAGGGGAGGAGAGACGCATCGGGGCTTCCATGGGCGGGGCCTTAGGAGGGAATAAGGAGAGGGGCGGAGCATTTTAAAGGGGAGGGGGCAAGGAGAACGACCCAAAGGGGTGGGGCTAAGGAGAACGACCTAAAGGGGTGGAGTTTAGAACTAGAAGGCCTGGGGGCGAGGAAGAAGACCTCCGAGTATCTCATGGGGAGACTCCGGTTCGTAAGGGGCCGGGCTCCCTTGGGCTCGCAGGAGGGCGGGGCCTCGAGCTCCCGGGGCGGAGCCTAGATCTTGGGGGTCTGTCTTTGCTGTCACGCCCACTTGCCTTCACCCGCACCCCCGTTCTTTTCGGTTATTTTCTGCTACGGCCGTTCCCTGCCCTGCCCCGGGCCCAGGGGGCCGTGGTCTGAACTCTGGTCGGCTGGAGGACTCGGTGAGTGGCCTCCTCTGGGCGGAGGCGGGGCCAGGGCGGAGCTTGGGGACGGGAGGAGCTTGAGTGTGGATGCTTGCTAGTAGATAGACCTGGAGCGGGAATAGGCTTAGGAGTGAGACCTGAGGATCTGCCGCTGCCTGGGAAGAGGGTGGGACCCAGATGATCCATAGAGAGGTGGGAAGTCGGAGAGTTAGAGGAGACGACTGAGGGATCAGCGTGACCAGCCAAGGGGACAGGCATGAAACCTTAGTATGTAAAGGGGCTGGGACTGAAGTATCTGCAGCAGTGTTGGGAACATGAGAAAGAAGGCGTGAGTGTCGAAGGTCGGGGAACAGGAGGGCGACCTAAGGACTTGGGCCTGAGAGGATCTTGGGCGGGGCCGGTGCAGATACATTAGACCAAGTACAGTCAGCCTCGTAGGGTCCCCACGGCCCTGGCAGGCTGACTGGCTTAAGTTTTTCTGACCAGTCTCCGAGCTCCGTCAGAAATGGGGAACATGCAGTCGGAGCCGTCCGCGGGCGGGGGCTCCCGAAAAGAGCAGGCCTCGGACCGCGCCCCCGACTCCCGCCGGACGTCCCTGGTGGAGCCCGAGGTGACCTCCCAAGCCATGCGCCTGACTCGCGGGCTGGGCGTCTGGTTTCCTGGCAGCTCCGCACCCCGGGGACTCCTGGTACCCGGGGAGTCCCAGACCTCACCCTCGACCCTGCCCCTCACCTTAGAACGGCCCTCTCCAGTGATGCCCCCTCCTGAAGAGGCGGCCGCGGTCTCCGCACCATCCCTGGCCCCCGCGGGGACCCTGTTGCCCGGCCCGTCTAAGTGGCAAAAGCCCGCGGGCACTCCAGCGCCCCGGATCCGCGGCCTGCTGGAGGCAAGCCATCGCGGCCAGGGCGACCCTCCAAGCCTCCGCTCGCTGCCGCCGAAGCCGCCACCGCCACCACCCCGGCAACTATCCGTGAAGGACACTGTCCCGAGGGCTCCATCCCAATCTCCACCTTCCCTGGAGCCGTGGAAGCCGCCACCACCATTACCTTCCGAATGGCAGCCCGCAGACCGTAGAATCACTCCTGCTCTGGCCACACCCACCTCGACCCCCACAGAAAGCCAGGCTGGGGCCGGCAGCCAGGGCCAGACGACCGGCAGGGCTCGCGGAGGGGCGCCTCCCCAAGCAGGCGAAGGTGAAATGGCCCGGCCTGCGGCTTCCGAGTCCAGCTTGAGCCTGCTGTGCAAAGTCACCTTCAAGTCGGGGCCCTCTTTAGCCCCTCCGGCAGCCTCGAGTTCCTTAGCAGCCAAAGCTTCGCTCGGGGGCGGCGGAGGCGGCGGCCTCCTTGCTGCCTCAGGTGCCATCTCTTACGCTGAGGTCCTGAAGCAAGGGCCCCTGCCTCCTGGAGCTGCTCGCCCCTTGGGAGAGGTTCCGCGAGGGGCACAGGAAGCCGAGGGAGGTGATGGAGACGGCGAAGGGTGCTCTGGTCCTCCCTCGGCGCCTGCGTCCCAAGCCCGGGCCCTACCGCCGCCACCCTACACCACCTTCCCAGGCTCGAAGCCCAAATTCGACTGGGTGAGCGCTCCCGACGGCCCTGAAAGCCACTTCCGCTTCAACGGGGCTGGCGGAGGCATCGGGGCGCCGCGACGGCGCTCGGTCCCACTCTCTGGGCCCTGGGGTTCCTCTCCGCCACCACCAGGGCAGATGCACTCAGCTCCCGAGCCCCGGAGGCCCGCACCTGCCCTCCTGGCGCCGCCTATGTTCATCTTCCCGGCACCCACCAAAGGCGAGCCCGTGCGCCCAGGGCCTCCAGGCCTGCAGGAGTTACCACCAATGCCGCCGCCCACGCCACCGCCCGCGCTGCCGCCCACGCCGCCGCCCGCGTCGCCGCCGCCCACACCGCAGCCACCTGCGCTCCAGCCAACGCCGCTGCCTGTGGCTCCCTCACCCACCCCAGGTCCGGGCTACGGAGAGTCAGCCCTGGCTCCCACCCCAGGCCCAGGCCATGCAGAATTAGCCCTGGCTCCCACCCCAGACCCTGCTCTGCCCCCAGCCTTAGCCGCCGACCAGACTCCGGCCCCGGACCCAGCCCCATCCCTGGCTCCAGCTCCCACCATGGCTGAGCCCTCGCTGCCCGCGCTCGCGACTGCGCCCAAGTCCCGCACGCGCAGGAACAAAGGTTCCCGTGCAGCCCGGGGCACGACCCGTGAGGATGGCTTGTCTGGAGATGGTCCTCGCGAACGACCTACAGCTACTGTGCCTGACAGCAGCGGTGGAGGGGGTGGTGGCAGCGGGGCCTCTCAGGCTGGGGCAGCTAACACCGGCGCTGCGCGCCACTGGCCGCCCTTCCAGGTGCTTAACTCCTGTCCCTGCAAGTGTTACTGCCGCCACCAGCCACGCCATCGCCGCCTGCCACGCAACGTCTCTGCCTGGTGAGAAGAGGGGAGAAGGGGCCAGACGGGATACCCCTCCAAGTACCGAACCCCAGACTCTGTGGATAGAGTCCTACTCAGCCCTTTGGCTTCCTGACCCTAGAATGACCCACGGCCTTCCTCTCCGCCACATTTCAAACCTAGTTGAGTTCCCACCCTGCAGGACCAAGAGGACCCTTGGTCCCATGCTGACCTTTGACAGGAAAGGGGACACCCTGGCCCAGCCCTATGGCATCCGATCTCCAAGTGGACCCTTGGCCCTCCTGTACCTCTTGAGCCATCAGAGAGGGAGGAGGCTGGTCCCAGCTGCCCTGACACTATACACTGCCTTGACCCTATCCCTGAGGGTACCAAGGAGGACCACGTCCCAAGCCATTCATGGATGGGGGTGAGAAGATGACTGTCTTCCTGGGACCAAAAGGGGGTAGACACAGCCCTCAACTTTACTACCCACAGGGGCAGCCCTGAACTCCTGACCCCTCTAGCCTCTGGCAACTTCTCCTGACTGTGGGACTCAGGCTTTAGCCACCAGAGGGCACTGATGTCCCTCCCAGCCCTTGTGCTGGGGAGACTCCTGAGTGCCACATCCGGGGGGGACACTGCAACCTCTAACCACCCCCTACCCACACTGAATCACCAGATCTGGCCACTAGTGTCTGATCCTGGCTCCTGGGGACGCTGAATCCCTGAGACCACTCTGGACCTCTTGAGGCTTAGCTGGGACACCCACCAGCCCTCAGCTCCCTTTCCTATGAAGTGGACGCAGCCCTACCCTAAACTGCCTTTGGGATATTCCAATATGGCTTTCAGAAACTTCTGTATTCATATGGGGACAGGGAGGCCCTAGAAGGGGTAGGGAACTGGTCACATTGCGGGGCTTTGCTCTCTACCCTCCTGCCTAGGCTGAGCACGCCCACCAACCACCTGAGCGAGCCGCCCTGGGTTGCCACCATCAAGCTGGCTGGCTCCTTGGTGGCTGGGCTGGAGCACTACGACCTGCAGACCACCCACTCCAACTGAGTGTAGTCGGGCCAATGACCTCCACCTTCCTCTCCATGCCAATAAAATAACCAACCCAGATGGCAGCAGCTTGTCAATCACTCGCCAAGGGCTGGAGGGGTAGGGTGCAGCAGGGTCGCCATTAAAGCACATCTTGGAAACAATCAGGAGGCCAGACCAGAGCTGCAGCAACTACGGTTCCATTCATCCAGCACCCAGACTGACGGGCCCACAGCGGGATCTCATTCCCCTTCATCCATAAGCCCCGATTCTGAGCTGACCTGGTACCAAGCTCCGAGACTCAGCACAAACCACTTGGCAAAGGAGTGATCATTCCCATTTTACAGTTGGGAAAACTGACTCTGGAAGACTTGACATTTCCACATCCCACAAGGGATTCAGCCAGATTTGGCCCCACGCCTGGAACACTTTCCCAAGAATTTCAAGGCAGGAAACAGGCTGGTGGGTGTGAGGGGAGGTCCTCAATCACCTTTGTTCCACAAAGGGCTCAAACTGGTAGCCCACAGATGGGTTCCATTTCACATGTCATTCGAAAAATTGTTTAATTCATTGCCAACATTTTTTTCTTTTTAATGGGACACTTCACCCCTTTTGTTGAAAAACTCTGGTACCCTGGCCCAGCATTCCTGTGTCCACAGCTGGCTAGAACAATCCCCTTACCTGGGGCCATGACCTCCTGCAGGCCACAATGGTGCCGGGCCCCACAGTGGGCATCTGTGTTTGAGACCCTGAGCAATGGCCACCAGAGGCTGCCCAGCTGGAGGGTGTTATCTCCAACCTCTGAGCGCCCCAAAACTTCCAAGTTCTTCAGAGATAAGAACCTGTCTCTGCCATCCCAACTGGGGAGACAAGGGCCTGGAGGAGAGAATGTCAATCCACCTTTATTGGAGGAAACCCTGTGCTGTAACTGTTTTAAATAACTCGTGCCCTGCCCCACCCAGTGACCGGTGGGCTCAGACGATCATCTCCAGCTGCCGGGCATACTCGATGACCTGTCTGGCCAGTTCCGTGGAGGGAATGGTGGTGTCTTCTGGCTTCTGCTGCTGGCTGGCAAAACTGTAGTAGTTGTTGGGGCCCAGGACCCACCCTCGCTGCAGGAAGGGAGGGATTAGAGATGGGTGGGGTGATCACAATGGCACCATCTCCACCCCATGGAGCCAGCACTTGCCCATGTGTGCCATGCTCCCCCTTCTCACCAAACCTACTTTACCCCAACGACTCTTTGCAAGTAACTTCCCCTCTCTGTGCCTCAGTTTCTCTGTGTTGAGACTGGGACCCTAATTACATACCTCTCTGGGTTGACTGTGAGGATTCAGTGAATCAACACCTTTCAAGTGCTGAGAAGAGTGTTTGGCCAGAGTGATCTATCAGTATCAGCTGTCACCATCACTCAAATGCATCAGTATCAGCTGTCACCATCGCTCAAATGCAATTTCACCTTTTTGTTTTTTCCCGTTTCATTCTTGTTGCCCAGGCTGAAGTGCAATGCGTCATCTCAGCTCACTGCAACCTCTGCCTCCTGGGTTCAAGAGATTCTTCTGTCTCAGCCTCCCAAGTAGCTCGGATTATAGGCACCTGCCACCACATCCAGCTAATTTTTTGTATTTTTTAGTAGGGACGGGGTTTCTCCATGTTGGCCAGGCTGGTCTCGAACTCCTGACCTCAGATGATCCTCCCACCTCAGCCTCCCAAAGTGAGCTGAGGTGAGAGGATCCACCTTAATGGATGTGAGCCACCGTGCCCAGCCCAATTTTACCTTCCATAGCCTGGTCCTGGCCCTCCTCCTGCAACACCAAGCATTGTTCATGCTCAAATGCCTGAGACTAAATGAAGCAAAGTCTTGCAGAAAAAGCTGCCACCTCTAAGAAATTTTCATAAAGACAGCAGCCAACATGCATGCAGCGCCCACCTCCAGCTGGTGTCAGGTGCTAAGCTCATCCCATGTATTAAGCTCTAGCCTCATTGTGTGGATAGAGAAACTAATGCTCAGAGAGCTTTGGCAGCTTGCCTAGAGTCACACAGTTGAACTTAAACTTGGGCAGTCTTATTCCAGTGTCCCTCTAGGCTACCCCACAGCTGTGACTGCACCCCTTGGTCCCACGGCCCCTTGCCCTGCACCCCAGCCACCTTCTTGGCGTAGTCTGTCATCTTTTTGGGTGTGTTGAAGAAGAGGATCCGCGTGGCCTCAGTGAAAAGGATTTTCTCGTAGGCCTTCTCGATGCACCCAGCAATCTCATCCCTGGGGGAAGACGAGAAGCTCATTACTGAGCATCGACAACCTCCCAGGCCCTGTCCCCCCAGACCTGCCCTGTGTCAGCTCTGACCCTGGAGTTCAGCACTGATGGCAGGAATATGTGAGGGGCCCCGTTCCGTTCATCAAGGCTCAGAGGGGGAGAAACTTGACCAGACTCGCAAAGCAAGCAAGAGCTACGGGGGATCCCCACCGAGATCTCTGACTCCTGGCCCCACGCTCTGAACCCCACTCCCAGCCACAGGATTTCAGGTCTGAAACCCAGCTTGGGATTCACATGAGGGCATCTCTTCACGTAACACCCTTTACCAGGGTGCTGCACCCCACTTCATAGATCCTGAGGGGGTTCCTTGTACCCATCAAGAGGCACCATGGACAACACTGAAGTAGAAAAAGAGCAAGGCATGAAGTCACTGTAGTGGGGGAGGGGCTTAGCTCTGGGGAAAAGCCAGTGACCGGGAGGAGTGCCTCCCACATCTCTTAGGCCATGCGATGGGTAGTGGGTACTGGCTACCACTCCTCACTTGAGTGTCTCTGGGCTTGCCTTTGCCACCTGAAGAATGGAAACTCATTCCAATCTGGTGCTCTGCCCGAGTGAACCAGCTCGGCCACCACTTCGATACCCTTTTACTCCTTAAGGGATTTGTGTATCACATCCGCCTGCCCATGTGATGTCACTTGTGCATACAGCAACCCAAGGCGCTGCTGAGATTTGGTGACCCCATTCTAGAGAAGGGGAAACTGAGGGATCCACAGTTTTGGTGACCTGAGGTGAAGTCTCATGACTCAATGGATGGGCATCTGGGATGGAAGACGGGCTACGACAGGCAGCACAGTCCACGCCTGCTGAATCAAGCCCATGCTCGGGCTGGACACACGCGGCCACACATCTCAGCAGCCGAGGGTGGTGAGTGAGATGAGGGCTATTATCCACAATCCCACGCCCAGGCCCAATTCACTGAAAAGGGGTCCTGAGGTGCCAGGAGCATGAGAAACATGCCTAGCCTACCCAGACAACCAGTGGCTAGAATGACATTCAGACTCGGAGCCATCTGACTCAAGCCCAAGTGCCTTCCAAACCCCACGGGGTCCGGGCCCGCCATGTACCTGATAGTGTCCAGCAGGATGTCAATGAAGAAGGTGTAGCTCTCAGCGGGGATGTTTCCCTTGGCCAGGAACACCTTGTTGTAACTGCCCTCCATCAGGTACTGCAGAGGCCAGGAAGGGGAAGACAAGAGTCAAGAGGAGGCTGCACAGGGCCTACCTGTGTGGGCCTCATCACACTCCCAGTGCCCCTGTAAGCCCTACACTGCCAGAACACCCTTTGCCACACAGCCACACCCCTTCCCTGGATACTCCCTATTCCAGAAAGCCCTTGCTGGTTTATACACATACACACTCACACACACTCTCTCTCCCCCTTCCTCCCTCCCTCCTTCCCTTGCTTCCCCCAAGCCTGCTCTGGGGTGGCATCTCATTATCTCATCTACTTCCAATTATCCATCTATTCTCTGGGAGGGAGACAGGGCTGGCTCCACTCCCGGCTTATCCCTGTACACCTGTGCCCAAACTGTGCTGCCCGCCCTAACTGCCCTCTCTCCCACCCTCTCCCCACTGACCAAATCCTCCCATAAGATGTCAACTCCAGGAACAACTTCCTAACCTTAGGTCTAAGGCTTTGCCCTGGCCCTGCTCACTTTGTTCCAAAAACACTGTCTTCTTGGCTGTCCCTCGACAGACATGGTGCTGCCTTAGGACACCTGGACTGGCTGGTCCCTCTACCTGGCTGTCCACAGGGTTCAATTCCTCACCCTTTTCTTTTTTTAAAAAACATTTGTTGGGCCGGGCGCGGTGGCTCAAGCCTATAATCCCAGCACTTTGGGAGGCCGAGGCAGGTGGATCACGAGGTCAAGAAATGGAGACCATCCTGGTCAACATGGTGAAACCCCGTCTCTACTAAAAATACAAAAAATTAGCTGGGCATGGTGGCGCGTGCCTGTAATCCCAGCTACTCAGGAGGCTGAGGCAGGAGAATTGCCTGAACCCAGGAGGCGGAGGTTGCGGTGAGCCGAGGTCGCGCCATTGCACTCCAGCCTGGGTAACAACAGCGAAACTCCATCTCAAAAAAAAAAAAAAAAATTTGTTTTCACTTATTTTTTTAATAGAGATAGAATCTCACTGTCACCCAGGCTGGAATACAGTGGTGTGATCACAGCTCACTGCAGCCTTGAACTCCTGGGCTCAAGCGGTCCTCCTGCCTCAGCCTCCCAAAGTGCTGGGATTACAGGCGTGAGCCAGTTCCTCACCCTTTTCAAGTCTTTCTCCAATTTCGCCTTTTCAGCAAGGCCTTCTGACTCCCCAAGTAACTGTTACCCCTGTCCCTGCCTCTCCACCCTCCTTCCTTTTCCCCACAGCACTCAGCATCTGACAGACCATGCAGGTCACTCATTCTTCGGGCTTACTATCTGCTTCTGCCCTCAATGTCATCACCACAAGATCATGGATTTCATCTGCTTGGCTCACTGCAGTCTGACAACCTATCACAGCACCAGGCACACAGCGGGGACTCACTATTTGCTGGGCAAACAAGAAAATGAGTCCATGGGTGGAAAGATGGGTGAACCCTGGCCACCCCTTCAGGAAAGCCCTCCTAAGGCCATCCCTGCACCAGCCCCTCTGGCCAGGCCCTCCCCTGCCCCTTGCTGTCTCACTTGCTCCAGGGACACAGGGTGCTTGATGTAGACATTGGTCTGGATGTCTTTGGCAGGCAGCCGCTCCAACTCTGTGTGGAACTCAGCCACCCGGTTCTGGGACA